TCATCAGAGTCATGGCTGCATGCCCTCCACCTGTGGAAAATCATTGCTCATACTTACGTAGTCATCAAGACTTCCTCAACAAACAGGTGATTTTCTGAATAGGAAGTATTACTTGAATGCTAACATGGTTTGCACCCACTTGTCATTCAGGTTTGCATGTGATTTTGGGAAGCTGCCAGGGCTTCTACTTTAGACAGTCCTAAAAGCCTCCTTTTAGGTCACGTGAGTTCCATTCTGGTTGGCTCATAAGATTGTACATTTTTATTTATTCATTCATGGATATTATTATCTGAGTCAGTGTTTACTGTCTCAAGTAAATACCCCTTGTAGCCAAGTTCCTGAACCCTGTGCACAATCCCAGATGGATTTTTTTAAAAATGCACACACGAGCATTGCTTACAAGGGCCAGGGTGACCACCTACCCATTTTATAGGAATGCCCAAAACTTAGTTTTGGGTTGTCTGTTTCTGGAATGCTGTTTGTCCTGTACTTTTTGATCATTTCTGCTACTCCTGAATTCTTTCATCCCACAGGTGTTCCTGTGTTTGCCTTAATGTTCCCTAGCTTATCCCTTGAGTCCTGGCAACATCCTTGTAAATGTCTTCTGAACTCTTTCCAGTTTACCTTGCTACAGAATGTTATTAAACAACGGAATGTCCTACAACTGCAACATAACTTCCCAACTTCTATGCTCAAGACCCTGACTGAAGGCCATTGTGCCAAAAGTCTTTTTCACTGTCCTGTCTACCTGTGACTCTACTTTCAGACAACTCTGTATCTGAACTCCAAGGTCCCTCTGTTCCACTACTCTCCTTTTAAAGGTCCTACCACTCACCATAAAACTCCTACCTTCCAAAATGCAACACCTCATACTTATCTACATTAAACTCCATTTGCCATTTCTCAGCCCATTTCCCCAGCTGACCAAGATTCTGCTACAATTTCTGATAACCTTCCTAACTGACCATGGTACTGCCTATTTTAGTATCATCTGCAAACTTAGAAGTCATGCCTTGTACATTCTCATCCAAATCATTGATATAGGTAACAAACAGCAACCCCTGAGGCACACCACGAGTCACAGGCCTCCAGTCCGACAAGCATTCTTCCACTATTACACTGTTTCCTACCATCAAGCCAATTGTGTTTACAATTTGCCAACTCTCCCAGGATTCCAAGCAATCTAACCTTTCAGAGAAGCCTACCATGTGGAACCTTTAAAGGCCTTACTAAAATCCATATAGACTATGTTTACTGCTCTGCGTTTCAACAACCTTCTTAGTCACTTCTTTGAAGAACTCTAACAAATTTGTGAGGCATGATTACCCATGCACGAAGCTATGCTGATTATTCCTAATCAAACCGTCTTTCTAAATGCATGTATATCTTATCTCTCAATCTTCTCAAGTAACTTACCTACCACAGATGTTAAGCTTACTGGTCTATAATTCCCAGGTTTTTCTTTGCAGCCTTTCTTAAATAAGGGCACAACGTTCGCTACCCTCCAGTTTTCCAGGACATCACCTGTGGTTAATGATGTTGCAAATATTATCAGCCAGGACCCTGTAATATCTTTGAGCTTCTTGCAGAGGTTTTAGATTTATCCACCTTCGTGCATTCTAATACTTCCAACAACTCCCCCTACTGTGATTATGGACTGTCCCCAAGATATCACCACTAACTTTCCCTAGCAGTCTTGTCTTCCTCTATGGTAAATACAGGAGAAATATTCATTTGAGGACCTCGCCCATCTCCTGCAGTTCCACATACAAACACACCCACTTTGGTCCTTGAGGGATCCTATTCTCAGTTATTCTTTTTCCTTTTAACATACTTAGAGGTTCAAAGAGAATCTTTCAGGCAACGCTATCTCGTGCCCCATTTTTGTCCGCCTGATTTCCTTCTTCAGTAAACTCCTATCTCCCCTCCATACCTCCAGGAATTCCCTGGATCCCAGCTACCTATTCCTGAGCCAGGCCTCTTTTTTTTTTTTTTTCCCCCCCCCCGCCCCTCTGGTCAAAGCCTCAAAATCTGTTGTCACCCAGGGTTCCCTACTCCTGCCAACCTTGCCCTTCACCCTCACAGGACCATAGGGACCTTGAACTCTAGCTATCACACTTTTAAAGACCTCCGATATGCCAGACATCACTTTGCCTGCAAACAAACTATTTCAATCAACCCCTGCAAGCTCTAATCCCATCAAAATTCATGTTGCCCCAATTTAGAACTTGAACCTATCCTTCTCTAACTAATTTAAAATTAATAGAACTGTGGTCACTGTCCTAAAGTGCTTCCCCCACTGTCACCTATCCTGCCTTATTTCCCAAGAGTGGTTTGAGGTTTGCCCCTTCCTGCGTAGGACCCTCTATTATATTGCTTGAGGAAACTTTCCTGAACACGTTTAACAAATTCCAACTCATCTAAACCCTTAACACTGTGGCAGTCCCAGTCAATGTTAGGAAAATTAAAATCCCCCCACTATGACAACCCTATTTCTCCCACAAGTCTCCCTGCATATTTTTTCCTCTAATTCCCATTGACTATTTGGAGGCCTATAGTACCATCCCTCATTTCTTAATTCCACCCACAAAACCCCTCTGGATGATCCCTCAGTTATTTCATCTCTGACTACTCCTTGATGGGTAGGGTACACTATTGAAGTATCTGAAATGGGCATTTTAAATCTCTCAACAGTTCATGTAACTGAAGCTGTCAACTCATCTTTATCTGTTGTTGTTCCCAGAGAGAACTGGTTAAAGTGAAATAGCTGTCTGTTCAATCAACCCCCTCACATTTCCTCTTCCCTTTTTGATCTGAACCTTCCAGTTATGAAGCTTGACATGTGGTTGAGGAAATGATTGGCACAACCATTGTTTTTACTTAGCTTCCACAGCTGCCTTTGCAATTGACTAAGGAAAGTATCTGCTCTTCATGCTGTTGACAATTGGCATTGCCATTTCTGTGAATGGCACTGTGCTTCTTGTGCCTTGACTGTCCCTGGCATTATGGACAATTTTCCCACATAAACAGAAGCAATGTTACTTTTTGTTTCCAAGTCCATGTGAAATGTCTGTCCCTGGGTTGGTATGGTGCTACAACCATTCAACTATTTAAATAATATTCAGCCATTACTGACCAGAGGGTTCAGCTTCATGTGAGCTGCATGCTCAACTGTGGAAATTAGTGCTTAGTGATGCACAATGCATCGACTGACTTTAATTCATGCTGGATTTCCAGTTGTGCTTCTAAATACTCTCATCCTCTAGATCACACCAGATTAATAAATCTCAAACTGATTTAGCCTCACGACCACTGTGTCTCCCTACCTTTGTAACCACCACTTATGCTTTCATGAGGTTTGCTGGATGCCTAACACCTGGCAACGAGAAATCTCTCCTTTCTTGTACCCTGACCAGGAATGCCACTGAATCATGGCATGAACTTTACTTCTCAGGATTCCATTCTGCAGTTGCCTCAACCTAGACTGCTCCTTTTTATCTGGTCTCCAACCTACTTAAATATTGTCTTTAGACATGGCATCTCAGAATGAGTAGCCAGCACAATGAGCTACTCCTTATCCATAAGTGAATTTCTCTAGCTGCTGGCCTTAATTGACTCATCCTCATGAAATCTGAGTTAACCTATGTGCCAAATGTTCCCTCTACCCCCATCCAGCCAATCAAAATATAAGACCTGTGGATGCTGGACAAAACAGAGAAACTGCTACTGAAAGTGCAGGTGGAGTAACACCTATGGAGAAAAAGCAAGTCAATATTGAGTCTGTTAACTGAGGAGAGTCACTGGACTCAACGATAACTGGTTTCTCCCCACAGATGCTGCCAGACTTGTTAAAGAGCTCCAGTTATTTGTTTTTGATTAAAATTCAAGCCCTGGTTTTTGATGCTCTGAATTTGAGAGAGAGAGGGAGAGAGAGTTCAAATATTGAGATGTGAAGCTGCTGTATCTTGGAAAATACTAATGCCCTATCAGCATTGCTTCACCCCTATTAGTCATTTTAATGGCAGCCTTCTGTCTCATAGCAAAAACCATCCCCAATAATATTCTCAATGTCAGTCTCTTCCAGGATTGCAAGTTACCAAACAAAGAAAAAGAAACAAAACCTTCTGGAGCCAAGAACCATTTTGAACTAATTCTGTGGGAAGTGAAAGTTCATCTCAAAGGCCAGTTTAACAAAGGCAAGTGTGCTTTGTTATACTAAATTAGATGAGCTGTGCTTTAAACCACAAGTGATCGACAAAGATAATGCATCAGTCTTGTTATGTCTTCATGTAATTTATCTTTCAGCTATTAATGAGAAGTTCAAATTTCTTTAGAAAAGCCTCTACAGACATTGTAACAATGCCCTATGTTACAAAGCAATGCAGACGTTTTTCATCTTAGTCTATATCAAGGTGTAAAAAGTACATTTGCAGTGGGTCAACATTTTCCCCAACAGTAGTTATGAGACCGATGAATAAGAATGATCTTGAAATTTGGAACTGAAGAATGCCACTGATACCCTGGTACTACTTTGAACAGGATTCTTAGGAAGGTAGAACTTTGATAGAACTCTGGAGTACAATTGTCCTTAAAGTCCGATTTAATTTAAACTGAACTACAACTAATTTCAGATTGACCTGGTGTTCAAATAGCAACATTTTTGGATTTAGAAATAATAGTTTGTATCTTGCAATTCACTTACTACATTAAAATATAAAGTAATGTTAGAGATAAAACCATACCATGAAGTCTGACAGTACATAATTTCATTTAAAGATGCCAATTTACGATGATTAACCAAATTAAGAGTTTAATAACTATTATTGTGCAACTGTGAAAAAGTTTCAAAAGCTGATTTAAGTGCACAAATTGGACTGTACTCACCACCACTGGAAAAACAGAATCCACACAAAGCTTATGCTTTATAGCTCCACAAATATTAAATTCTGTTGCTGCACCGCACAAATTAAAATAAGATGCAACAAACAAATAGACTTGTGTATGTTTAAACAAATTTATTTCTACCATTCAATATAATGCAAAGTACAAGAGCAAAAGCTTCTTATACAGCCAAGGTTTATATTACAAATGTGATTAATATTTTAACATGAGCAAGATTGATTTTAATACATTTCCATTTATGCAGTTTTAAAACTTGGACAGTGATCTGAATAACCTTCAAAAGATTAGAGTGGGGAACAGGTACAATTTAGAGGCCATTATATCACATGGAATCTTCTATGAGCAAGACCATACTCCATCAATCATGTAAGATGTTACAGTGAACAGTGTGGGATTTCAGTAGATAATGATCGAGATGTAACTACAACTTGAATTAATAACATCTAGGTTCGCTTCAGTCTACACAACTATTCAAGATACCAAATGAGGAAAAAGTACCAAAGAACCGAAGCATAAATCTTGATTAAAATAGATAATACTTCACCATCTTAAAGTAATACTTGCACCAGAGATTACGTGCTAACTCAAACAAAGCCCTCCTTCTGTGCTTGTTAAAGGCAAAGATGTAATTGCACAAACAAGTTGCAACATTAAATGACAGCCCATTGAGCAGATTCTTTAGAGGTGGGGGTTCATTAATAGATTTGCCATTAAAACAAAAACTAAAATACAAGCGTAACATTTTTGTGAGAAAGTGTTGTTTTGGCACCAACTGTGAGAATCTAGTTGCAAGTAGACTATTATTTATATTTAACAACAGCTCTTAGGAGTTAATATTTATAATCACAGGTTGATACTTTGATGCAACCGTCCCATCTTGTTAATCCAATAGTGATGGAAAAACAGTACAAATGCTGCATTTCTCTTACCTGAGATGGACCAATTGATCAATAGGAACCATTCTGCACAGCATTTTACCCAACAACTGGCACGACAGTAACCCATGTATTTGGCAAACCAAAACAAACATTTAAAAAAAAAGAGGATTTTCTTGCATTCTTAGTCCTCGTGAGATTCCACATCATTGCCGATATAAGCATAGGGAACGGAACTGAAAAGAAATGATCTAAGTCATTCTCACTCGGAACCATACAAGTTCCACCTCATGGAGCTGAGCTTCATAAAAATCCATATCCCATGCATCTGATCATCATTCTTAACCACAATCACCCAGTAGTTCACATCAGAAACATGGAGGTGATGAGAGGGATGACCTTTGCTTCTCTTGAAATGGATGCAAATCCAAAAATCGCAGAAGTGAATATGTACAGCCACCACTATAAAACAAAAATCATGAAACCACAAGTCCCTACATAATCTCCAGTCACGAACGGGCACATATCCAAAGTTACAGGAACATATGGTTTAAGATTTTAAAAGTTTGCTGCCTCTGGGTCCAGAAATCTATGAGACTACATCGTAGAGGCTGTTTTTCAAAAGGCCTGTTCAATTTTTATAACAAAAAACCAAAACCTTTAAACTGAAATTCTTATTCTGCCTGCAAAGGGATCAAAGCTGTACAAACACATACAATGTGAACCATAAAAAAAATGTACAGATTTGGTTAACAAAAGCTCTACATACAGCAGCATTATTAGTAACCATTTGGGTACCCAATCACGTGTACCACATTGCTATGGTATTTTTGCTGGGATGTACTGTATATAAATACTGGCTACATGACTGGCATAAGAAACATATTTACATTTTTACATTGGTCCAGTAAGGATTCCCATTACTACAGTGTCCATTCAAACATAGTTTTGATTAACACCATGCCTCAATTCTGGAGATATGCAACACTTCAAACACTTTCCAAAATGTGAAAGAGAGCTAATTAGCATTACAGTTCTCCAATTTGTTTGAGAAGAATAGATCGTCAGCTCCCTTGGATGATTTGGAAGAAGCATTGGTATTATTTGTTTCCACTCAGACAAGTCAGGATGTTGCATCATTCTCATTTAACTGGGGTAAGGAGGGACGGCACCACAGAGAAAAGAAAGGCAATCACAATTGATGTCGCGCTTCTCCAAAGGTCTTCTGCACACCATTTTAGAAAGTGCTCAACAGGTTGATTCAAGTCAAGTAATGCACTATATTAATTTTAAAAAGTTATTAGAACAATTATTTCTCAACAACTGAACACAATAAAATATGGATTTTTATTTCAGTTGCAGTAACTCCTTCAGTTAATATGAAAAGTATAAAAAATGTCAAATATAAGGCAAGCAGAAACTACAGCCTTTCAATGCATGGTATTTGGAGGCAGAAAAGATAAATTTCACGTAGATCTCCAATGAAATCTGCGTACCAGTGGTTAAAACTAGGTTGCTCCATCTTTCCTTCCGGCGAACAGAACAATAGCTCTTACTCATTTCTTGATGCAAGTTGGCCATGAGAGACCACCACACGCTGCTGATACAATGATGTAAATGACAACCTGCAAAAGACAGTTTCTCTTTCAAAGCAGATCTGCACTGCAAGTTTCATTCTCCTCCACCCAACCCATTACCCTCATGAAATAATATACTTAACACTTCAAAAACAGATGATGAACAGTACATGAGTGAAAAGATGGTCCATAAAAAAAGTGTGAAATCTGAATGCACACAGTATTCAAAACAAAAACAGGTGAATCGAATTTGTAAATTGAAATAACAATGGATTTACTAGTCACTTTAGAGACATGGCTGTAGAATGTCAGATTAGGACTGGAAATATGACAGGGTACATGACATTTAGGAAGGACAAGCTGGGAAAAGATGGCATTGTCAATATTAGAAAAAAGGTATTGATCCAATAGAAGGGGCTAAATGATAAAGACAGGAAGTCACTTCTCGCTTTGATGTATAGGCTCACAAATAGCAAAACAATAATAGAGATAATTGAAGCTTGTCAGAAACGTGTGTTTATCATGGGGGATTTTAATCTACGTAGTAGAAAATCAGATGAGCAAAAGGTAGCCTAGATAGAACAGCACATCCTATGAGTTCCTAAAAAAAACCAACACAAAAACAATCTGGATCCAACTATGGAGCAAGCTGTATCAGACCTGGATAGTGAAATGAGATTGACTGACTAATCTTAACACCTCAGTGAAGGCACCCTTTAGGTAGCAGCAATATTATGATTGAACACTTCAGAATCTACAGAAGAAATACGTTCTGATGGGAAACAAAAGGGGAGAATCTACCATCTTTGGTCAACTAGAAAAGTTAAAGATGGTTTCTCTTCAAATTTGATACTATGTAATTCTGCAAAAAGTGACAGAAGGTTGTATAGAATATAAAAGATAGCAAGAATGACAAAGATTAATAAGGAAGGAGATTTAGAATGAGAAAAATATAATAGAAACAGGTTGAGTTTCTACAAATATTGTCAAAACAACTAGATGAGCATTGATTCTAATCCAGTGTGTGTTTGGGGAATTTGATAAGGTAGAATAAGGAAATGGCAGATGAAATGAAAAGAGTCTTCATTATAGAAGATAAAGGTAATATGGTGGAAATATCTGCAAATCCAGAAATAGAAGAGAGGGAGGCTGGAGAAATTGCACAGGGCAATTTGTTGGAACAACATACTGTCAAGGCCGTGGTAGATTTCATCCTAAATAACTGCCAGTGACATAGTTGATGGGTTGGTTTTAATTTTACATTTTCTAGATCCAGGGAACGTTCCATTAGATTGGAAGTAGCAAATGTAACTCCTATATTCAAAATGGAGGGAGACAGAAAACAGGAAAGGCAGGGCACTTAAAGTTGGAGGTTAATCAGGAAGAATCACAGTTTTCTGAATGGTTAAATGATTCCAAGCACAAGGAGCAGTGGCAGTGCAGCAGAAGCAGAGCAAAACAAACTTGGGGGCAAGCAAGTGTAGTTTCCAGATAACTAGCCAAGGAGCAGTGCCTGAATTGAACGCATTTGGAACAGGAGCAGTGGCAGCACAGTGGTGAACCTGGATGTCAGGAGCAGAGCAGACCAGCAATCACAGTTCAGGAAGTGACTCGAGGATCAGTTGATTGAGGAGTAAGTGGGATTTCCAAACTATTAAATTCTAAGTCATTGCTTAAGCAAAGGTAGGTACTTATTTGGTTTTATTTATTTTAAGAAAAGTCTACTGAAGTTTTTACACTAAGTGGTTTAGTCATGGCAAGAGAGCTGAAAGCCATAGTTTGCTGCTCTTGCTTTATGTGGGAAGCCGGGCATATTTCCAGCATGTGTGCGGGAAGTGTTCAGCTGCAGCTCCTGGAAGCTCGAGTTTTTGAGCTGGAATGGTGGCTAGAGACACTGTGGAGCATCCATGAGTCTGAGACAATTGTGGATATCAAGTTTAGGGAGGTGGTCACACTGCAGAGGAAGGGAATGGGTGACCACCAAGCAGCCCAACAGAAACAGCAGGTAGTTCGGGAGCCCCAGGTCCGGCTCTCAAAACGGTATTCTATTTGTGGCTGATGATATTCTTCCGGTGAGTGCAGACAGAGCCAAGCTTCTGGCACCACAAGCAGCCTGTCTACAAGAGGAGGAAGAAGAGGGGAAGGGCACTAATAATAGGGGATTCTATAGTCAGGGGAACAGATATGTGCTGTGGCCAATGTGACTTCAGGATGGCATGTTGTCTCCATGGTGCTAGGGTCTGTGATGTCCCTGAATAGCTGCAGGACATCCTGCAGGGGAAGGATGATAAAACAGAGGCCATGGTACATACTGGTATCTATGACATAGCTAGAAAGAGAGATAGGGTCTTACACCAAGAATTCAGCGAGACAGGCAGTAGATTAAAAAGCAGGGTTTCTTTGGTTGCAATCTCTGGATTACTCCCAGTGCCACATGCTAGCAGACAGAATAGTGAAGATGAATGTTTGGTTTAACAGTTGATGCAGGAGGGAGGGGAAGGCTTTAGATTCCTGGAGCACTGGGGCTGTTGCTGGGGAAGGTAAGACCTGAACAAACAGGATAGTCTGCACCTGAACAAGAGTGGGACAAACATCCTTGCAGGACAGTTTGCTTGTGCTGTTGGAAGGAGTTTAAACTCATTCAGCAGGGAGAATGGCCAGTGTGTTAGCTAAATAAGGACAAATATTCATACAGCAAAACAATCAAGTCAGAGCGAGTGCAGCTGTATTAATTTAAGGGAGTTAAGAAAAGCTGGATGGTCTTCAAGGTAAGGAGTATCCCAGGTTAAATGGATGAGTTAAGCACAATGATTGACACATTGAAGTGTGATATAGTAGCCATCAGAGACACATGGTTGAACGAAGGGCAGGATTAGCAACTCAATATTCAGGGCTGTAGAATCTTCAGATGAGACAAAGGAAGGGGTAAAAGAGGAGGTGCCATTGCATTTTTAGTTAAGGAGTCAGTTAGTGCAGTAAGAAATGATACCTTGGAGGGCAGTCATCAACTGAAGCTTTATGGGTAGTGGTTAAGAATAAAAAAGGGCAGCCACAGTCGTACGTGTTTATCAAGTAACCCCTCACCCCATCCCATAGAGAGTTGGCAGGAAATTGAGGAGCCAATTTGTGCACAATTCAGAGGGGTGTATAAACAACACCAAAAGGTTAATTATCGTACGTGATTTCAACTTACCCAACATTAACTGGGATAGACAGCGTTAAGAACTTGGTTGGAAAGGATTTCTTTAAATATGTACAGGGCAACCTTTTAGGCCAATATGTAGAGGGTCAACAAGGGATGGAGTAGTTCTAAGGATGAAGCTGGGCAGGTGGTTGAAGTGGTGGTGGAGCAGTTTAGTGATAGCGATCACAACATGGTTCAATTTAAGCTTATTATGCACAAAGAAACAGACAAGTAGAAAAAAGGTTTGGGTTAAGAGAGTGTGGATTTTAGTAAAACAAGGCAGGATTTGGCCAAGGAAGACTGGGAACAGCTACTGGTAGGGAAAAGTCTACAGAAGAGCCATAGGGGACATTTAAAAGATAATTGGGGAGAGTACACATTCACTCTTAAGAGAACATGTTAGGAAAGATTAACAAGCTCACAGAACCATGGATAACCAGATATATTCAGGATACGACGAGAAAGAAAAGAGGGGCTTTCAGCAGCAGGTACGAGGGAACAAATCAGCAGAGGCATTAGTGGAATACAGAAATTGTAAGGCAGAGCTTAAGAAAGCAATTATAAAAACAAAGAGGGAATACGAGAGAGCTCTAGCTCGTAAAAGTAGGGAAAATCCCAAGACATTCTATATCAATAGGAACAGGAATGACCAGGGACCAATCTGTGAGTGGAACCAGAGGATATTGGTAGATTGTTTAACCAATACTTCACATCCATCTTCACCCAACAGATGGGTGATGAAGGTATAGAGCCCAGTAGTAGACTGCGAGGTTCTTGAGCAAATTCACGTAGGGAAGATCAATGTTTGGGAGGTGTTGGCAAGCTTAAATATGGACAAATCTTCAGATCCACAAGAACAGTGCCCCAGGTAAGGAAGGAGATTGCAAGGACACTGTCCCAAAATTTTAATTCTTCTCTGACCACAGTGGAGGTGCCAGAGCCAGAGGATTGGAGAACAGTTAATATGGTTTGATATTTAAGAAGAATTGTAAAGATAAGCCAGAGAACTACAGACCATTTAGTCTCAGGTCAGTGGTAGGGAAACTACTAGCGAAAATTCTGAAGGCAGCAGGCTTGGTCAGGAATAGAATGCACAGCTTCGTAAGGTGGTGGTCATAACTAACAGATTTGACTGACTTTTTGAGATGACAATAAGGTGTGCAGTTGATATAGTTTATATGGATTTCAGCAAAGTCTTTGACAGATCCCACATAGGAGATCTTCAGGAAGGCAAATGCATATGGGATACAAGGCAATTTAATAAAGTGGATTCACAATTGGCTCAGTTGTAGGAGATAAAAGGTGATGACAGGAGGCTGCTTTAGTGACTGGAAGCCAGTGTCCAGTAGTGTACCACAGGGATCTATTTGGGTCCCCTATTATTCATCATTTATATAATTGACAGATGTCTGTGTGGAGGGTTGGATTAGCAAGTTTGCGGATGACAAAGATTGGGTGATTAACTGTGAGGGTGAGTTCTTGGTATAAAACAGAATGGTCAAATAGGCAGATAAGTGGCAGATTGAATTTAACACTGAAAAGTGAGGTGATACACTTTCAAAGGAGTCATTTAACAAGGAAGTATTCAATGAATGGCATGACATTAGGAAGTTCTGTGGAACAAAAGGACCTTGGTGTGTTTGTCCATAGATCAAGGCAGAAACGGCATGTTAGTTGGATGGTGAAAAAGACAGTCGACACCTGCCTTTATCAATCACGGCATGGATTGGAAAAACAGGGAAATCATGTTGGAGTTCTATAGATCTTTAGAGAGAACACAGCTACTGCTTGCAGTTCTGGTCGCCACATTACAGTAAGGATGTGATAGCACAGGAAGGGGTGCAGAGGAGATTCACCAGGACGCTGCCTGGGGAGTACAGTGCACAATTCTGGTTACCCTGTTATAGCAAGGATATTAAATTGGAAGGACTACAGAAAAGATTTACAAGGATGTTATCAGGATTGGAGGGTTTGAGTTATAAGGAGAGACTGGATAGGCTGCGGACTTTAGCAGGGTTTATAAAATCATGAGAAGCATAGATAAGGTGAGTAGCAAAGGCCTTTTCCTTAGGGTGGGTGAGTTCAAACTACAGGGCATACTTTTAAAGGTTAGAAGAGAAAGATTTAAAAAGGTAGTTAAGGGGCAACTTTTTTCCACAGAGGGTGATTCATATGCAGAATATACTGGCATCTACCACTTGCTCTGGCAGTTCAGTTACAACTTTTTAAAAGACATCTGGGACAGGTACAGGTACATGAATAAGTAAGGTTCCCATGGATATGGGCCAAAACAGGCAAATGGGACTAAAATGGGCTTGGGTTGTCTTCACTGGAGCAAAGAAGACGGAGGGGCAATCTGATTGAGGTGTACAAGATTATAAAGGGTATGGACAAAGTGGATAAGGAGCAGCGGTTCCACTTAGTTGTAATGTCACTCATCAGGGGACACAGGTTCAAGGTGAGGGGCAGGAGCATGTGCATAAACCTTTGAGTAAAAGGGTGGTAACAGTTTGGAATCTGCTGCCTAGAAGGTTGGTAGAGGCAAACTACCTCATCCTTTAAAAAAAGGATCTGGAGACCACTTCGCATGTCATAACATTCTAGGGTACAAGTCAAGTGCTGTTAAGTGGAATTAAGTTGAAGGTCAGGTGTTTCTCATGTCAGTGCAGACTTGATAGGTAAGGGGTCTCTTGTTCACTGATTCTATGTCCCAACTCAGAATTTTTTCAACTAGTAATGTGCTGTGGGCAAAGGGGACAGGTGGATGCACTTAGATTTCCAGAAGGTATTTGATAAGGTACCACTTAAAGGATATCATGGAGAATGAAAGCTCAGGGTGTAAGAGGTATAGTATTGGTACAGATAAAAAGATTGGCTAACAAACAGGAAACAATTGACAAAATGCCTCATTTTCTACACGGCACAATTGTAATGAGAACTGTGCCACAGGGATCAATGTTGGGCCTTCAACAGTTTGCAATTTATACAAATGTCTTGGATGAAGAGAGACTGAAGGTATGGTGCTTTACCTTCTTTCTTTGTCATCAAGTTAAGTTAGTTTGAGGACACACATTTGCAGTGCCCTTGAGTGGACAAAGATCTGGCAAATAGAATATGACATGGGAAAATGTGAAGTTGTACAACTTGCCAGGGAGAATAAAGGAGCAGCATATTATTTAAATAATGAGAGATTGCAGAGCTAAGAGCTGTAGAGCTGGATGAACACAGCAGGCCAAGCAGCATCAGAGGAGCAGGAAGGCTGACGTTTCGGGCCTAGACACTTCAGAAAAAGTAGAGCTAACTGGGTATCTTAGAGCACAAACTGAAAGGTTAATATGCACAGCAAGTGATTAGAAAGTAACAAAATGGTGCGAGAGGGACTGAATATACAAAAAGGTCAGATGTTTTACTTCAGTTATCTTAGGGCACTGGTGAGACCACATCTGGAGTACTGTGTATAGTACTGGTCTCCTTACTTAAGGAATCAGCATGGTGGCTCAGTGGTTAGCACTGCTGCCTCAGTGCCAAGGACCTGGATTCAATTAAAACCTTGGGCAACTGTCTCTGTGGAGTTTGTTCTCCTTGTGTCAGCATGGGTTTCTGCCAGAACTGGGTGCTCCAGTTTCCTCCAAAAGATGTGGAGGTTAGGTGGATTGGCCATACTAAAACATCCGTGGTATTCAGAGATGTGTAGATTAGGTACGTTAACCATAGGAATGCAGGGTTACAGGGAAAGGGTAGGGGGAATGGGTCGCTATTAGGAGGTTTAGTGTGGATTTGTTGGGCCAAAGGGCCTGTTTCTGCACTGTAGGGATTTGATGAAGATTTAAATGCAATGAAAGTAGTTCAGAGAAGGGTTACGAGACCAATATTTGGAATGGGAGGGGAGGTTCAATCAGGAAAAATCAGATAGACTAGGCTCATTTGTTGGAGTTCAGAAGAGTAAACGGTGACTTGATTGAAACACAAGGTCTAGGGGTCTTGACAGAGTGGATGTGGAAGGGCATTTCAACTTGTGGGAGAACTTGGAACTAGGGGTTACTGTTCAAAAATAAGCAGTCGTATATTTTAGACAGATAAGAAGAATTTTCTTGCCTCAGAGGATGTTGTTTTTTTTTTTTTTTAAAAAAAAAGTCTCTTCCTCAAAGACATTAGAAGGTCAGAAATGGCAATGTCTGTTGATGAGTGCACAATGACATTTGTAACAGCTCAGACAGTGAAACAATCTGTGCCCGGATGCTGCAAGATCTGGGGCTTGATGTTACTTACAGGGCAAGTAAAGTCAGCACCACATTAGTGCTGGGCAATGACCGCAGGGAGACGGAGAGGGAGAATCTGGTCATCACCCCATCACATCCAAAGGGCATTTCCATTGCTCAATTGCCACTATCAAAATCCTGAGGTTTACAGTGATCAGAAGCTGAACTGGATCAGTCAAATAAATACTGTGGCTTGCATGTCATCTAAGGGTACAGCGCAACAACACACCAAGCCTTCAGAGACACCACCTTTCAAACTTGCAACCTCTAGTAGAGAAGTGCAGCAGATACATGGAAATAGCATCACCCAGAAGCTCCCTCTGGAGCCAGTTCTTATTGTCCCTTGGAACCACACCACAGATTCTTTGCTGTAACAGGGTCAAAATCCTTTGCCAGTTACAAAGCAGAACGAAGCATTACCAGTTTTGCAATGCAACTAAGCTGCTATTTTAAGATCCAACTCTCCAAACATCATGTGCAGGACCCTAAAAATAGGACATTTTGTATAAAAGGAATTTCAGAGCAGGGAAGCACTGTCCAATCATCGTGTTCATTAATATGCTTTTCTATCCCCCAACCAGCTACATTACAAATAGAGAAATATACTTACAATTGCTACGATGGCGATAATTATGGTCAACTTGAGGTTTTTCATACACATCGCTCTGGCCAGGTTTCTACTGGTGGTTTTAAACGTTACCGACTACAAAAATAAATACACATTTGATTTTTGATTCCAAACAGAATTGAAAAAAAATAATGGAACACAAATGCTGTGATGGTAGAGAACTTGAGGCAAAAAGCATGAGGCAGGAGTTGGTTGGAGAGGTTCTTCAGTCACCGCCTTTACTTTGGATGCTTGAAAACCAGAGCAAGCACCATAATAAATGGGCGTGTTAAAAACAAAATACTTGCATGAGAAAAGCACCTTTTATGTTTACCAGATGTTTAATGCACTTTAAAGGCACTGAAGTACTCGGACGTGTACTCACTGTTGTAATGAAGGAAAATTAGCCAATATGAACACATTAACCTCCCACAAATAGTGAAGTGTTGCTACTGTTTTGTCATATTAAGCTGGATTAAAAATTGGCCAGGATACCAGGGAAGAATGTTTTGGTCTTCTGCAGAAATTCCATGGGATCATTTACATCCCCTCAAGCAGGGAGATGAAGCCTTGGTTTAACATCTCACCCAAAGATAACACCTCTTACAGTGCTGTACTCCATTAGCACTGCACTGAAGTGTCAGGTCTGATTTTTGTACTCAAGCCTTGGAGTGGAACTTGACCAAGAATCTTGTGACTTGAGATGACAATTCTAACAAGGGAGCAGCAGCAGCAGCAGATATGTAAGGAGAAAGAAAAAAATTCAAGGCATGACGGAAATAATGTATTAAGAGCAGGTATACTTGCAGTCTAACTTTTCTGACTTCATAACCCACAATTCCAGCACAACCTAAATTCCAGCATTTCAAACCAAAGGGTAATAAGAATTATTGCATATATTTGCGTATTGGAAGCAGCTCAGAAGGATTACTAGACTAATGCCTGGATTAAGCTGATTGCGTTATGAGGAAAGGATAGACCTGTGCGTTCTGGAATTAAGAGTCAGAAGAAATGACTTAACTGAAACATACAAGATCCTGAGGGGACCTGACTGAGTGTAGGTTAAAAGCAGGTTTCTGCTTGTGGGAAAATCTATAACTATGGGTCAGAGTTTACAAATAGGGGGCAGACATTTAACACAGATGAGGAAACAGTTCTTTCTCCCCCCTCAGGTTTGAGTTGCTTTGGAATTCCATTCCTAAAAAGGGAATGTTTGCAGAATCTTTAAATACTTTTTAAAGGCAGAGGCAGATAGATTCTGGATTACCAAGGGGATGAAAGATTATTGAACATATGCAGAAATGTAGAATTTAGGTTAAAACCTGATTAATCATGATTTTACTGAATGGCGGAATAGCCTTGAAGGGCCAAATGGCTTACCCTTGTTCCTCATTCATATCTTATTGCAGGTTTTCCCAGAGTCTGAGGAAAGACCTGTGGTCATAGTGGAAAACTAATGCAATATTTATACTTGCAGTCATTAGTTGGTTCTATGGGTAGGGGATGGATGAAGCCACCGAGACAATTCTTGGCGCCTCAAGAGCAAGGGTTCCATATCATTATATTGGCAGTCACCAGGAAAGTAATGGAGAGGGACTATAAAATTATAAACTTTCGCTGTTCTACACAAAAGTAATAAAAATAATGATAACTTTAAGTGAACATGTACATTGAAAACTTTTAAGAGGCTTCAAAAGACATTACAGCATATTACACACAAATCTCTCCTCCACCTCTGAACTTGAAACATTGCTTATGAAGAAGTCATCCATCACCCGAGATAAATTATACTGGAATTCATTTGTATTTCAGTGCGAGTGGTAAGAAAGACACACGATACTCACGGAATCCACTAAATTTTCAGTTTTGTCGATCAACAACTCCAATTTTTCTCCTCTTTGTGCTACCAAATCTAAATTGGAAAAGTCGACCAGTGAAGGCACATTACAAAGCAGTCAAAGCAAAATTTCAGAACACTTGTGAAATCAGTTCATATATTTCAGATGAAATTCTGTAGCTCAATCGAATTTTTATTCTTGGCATACATACTGCAAATTAATAGTTTTTAAAATTAATTTTAACTACTTGCCTTTAACACGAGAAACATGCCATAGTATATTACTGGAAATAACAGAAGACTACTGAAGAAGGCAGGACAAGAACGTACTGTGAATTTGTGGAGGAATTTGAAGAGAAGTGCTTCAAAATTCAATGTGCTCCTTAACAGCAACATCAAGTAAACAGACAGCTTCATGTGTGGCAGTGATTACACAGTTTTGAAAAACGGTGGCTCACAGTTTGGGCAGGGAGAAATAGAAACGGGAGCCAGCAAGGAGGACTTGAGAAAGGAATGTAGAGATGACAAAACATGCACAAGGATTTCACAGGTAGGTTAGACAGTGGCAGTGGATGAAGCTTGCAGAGATTCAAACAATTGGCCTTGGTGATGGATGAAAGGTTGGATTTGAAACATCACTGTTTAAACAGAATGAGTACCAGTGGAAATCGATAGAAAGAACACAAGCCCTAGAAGTACTTATCCCTGAATACAGCAGGAAGGAAAGGTATTGAGAGATGCTGGCTGAGTTCAAATATGTAATAATGGAATGTTGTTTAGCTCCCTGGAGTTGCACAACACAGGAAAGGTGGAGGAAGTAATAATGGATCAGATTATTAAGAGCTGTGGAAATGCTGGAGGGAAAATACGCAAAGGGAAATTTTGGCACTCTGGAAAACAGGACAGAAATTTGCTGGTAGAGATTGGAAGAGTATTTTGGGAGAGTCAAAGATAGTTAGTTGATGACAATACACAAGGACCTTAATGGTGGAAGCATTGTTACAGACAACATACTAATTGAACTGTACAAATATGGAAGAGGCCTATGAAATCTCTGCACATCCTAGTTTTTAAAAAAGGGAATATTATTCGGAAGTCAAATTAAACGAGTTTAATGGAAATGAGATGAGAGAAAGAGGGCAACAAAATAGAAGGGAAATTGCAAAGTGATTGGAGGATTATAGGCAGAAAAGGAAGACTAGGCAGAGGAACGAAATACAGATAGTACCAAATGCTCTGCATTGGATACTGAAACAGAAGGTGTTGAGGTAGCAGAAATAAGTTTAAGTTAGTGTCACATGCCAAAAATAAGTTAAATACAATTCAGAATGATCCTGAAAGAATAGGACAGAGAGGCCCAATTGTGCTAAAGCTGCAGACAATTCTAGCCATAAATAAGCATGTGAAGATGAGGATTATTGCACAGAGAAATAGAAATTGAAATAATCTGGTGGGGATGAGGGAAAGGCATAGCAGAGGCAACAGCAATTAAAAGTAGCAAAGTATTGAGTTGATAATCAGATTATACAAGACTGATTTAATATTCTCCAAACTTTCTTCTATCCTTTATTTCCCCTCTCAAAATTGTCCCACCTGTGACTGATCTCAACTGTTTAACCATCTCATGATCTCTTCCCTCTCTATTATTGATAAGGTTGCCTCATGAGAGAATGAATAAGGGCATTCACTAACAGTGTTTTCATTGAGACAGATGTGGGGTTTACGGATGGCAGGAGATGAGTGCAGGGAAAGACACGATAAAAGTCAGGGGAGGCAAGCTCTGATAGAGAGCAAAGACAGCATAAGTCAGAGACCGGTCTACAGCACACAGAAAACAAATCACAAAAAAGTTTTACAGTGGTTCCTCTTTCTTGATTACTCAAATTTCCCTGAATTAATCACATTATGAATATCCACAGAAGTCATGAGCCTTGTGTGAGACACACACAAAAGGATAATAGACTAAAGGTCAGGACTCTGAAGGGTATTTTAGAATTGCTCATAATAACAGACAGACAACAGACAACTCTGGTCGTAGATGTCAACCTCAAATATACTACTACATTTTGCACAAACCACTTATTTCTGCAATCATAAATATTCACAGCACCCTACGGCCCAGTTTAGGGGAACACGAATAAAAGTACTGAGAATTAAACTTAAAGCAAAATATTGCAGATGTTGTAAATCTGAAATAATAATGTTGTTTCCAGCAGAGTCAAGATGCATCTGGAGGGTTAAAATTTCAGGTTTAACTGATGAAATGTCATTGATTTGACATGTTTCTTTCTGCAGAGGTATTGCCTGAACCGCTAAGTGTTCCCATCATTTATATTTTATTTGACTAAATCCAAAGCACATTGGTGCGAATAGGGAACGAGGATTTTGATTTAACAGATTCACAATCAATGCTGAAATCATGCAACAGTACAAAAATAGAAGAAACTAATCTATTCAAACGATGTAATGTGACTAATATTGTACTGTAGATCAATATTTTCTAGGGCGTAAACTCACCATATCACAATTTATACAGCCCCCTCAGGGCAGAGGTACTGGCATATTTCAATACACAGTTATCACAAATCTTAGCAGCTAGGTAAAAATCAGTAAGGCCAAGAGAATGGTGTCCAACTAGATTTTCTAAAGTTACACATATTGCCATTTTTATACATACCAATATTTCGGACCATGATTCCTTTCAACTCATCAACCTGTGCTTGAGTCTCCAGAACACGATCAGAGTTCTTGTTTTCTGACAAGTGTTTCTGAAATCATGTGATAAGTTCAATATTCTCTATTTTGGAAAAAAGGACAAATGCACACAACATCTATGTAGGTCTATATTCAAGCTACTTATTCAGATATCCAGTTGCATGGAAAGCAATGCTGAATAATTGCCAGTCTAGAATTTCCTTATCACCTTCCTAGGCTCAACGAAGTTTCTTACAATTATTTGGGATTTCTATGTATGAATTTATACTAAGTGCTGGATGCACAGAAGGTGATCAGAAGTATTAAAATGGTAACAATGTAAAGGGTTTTGCAAATCTATATTCAGTAATTTTATTAAAATTAATGATTTTGTTGAGGTAATAATGAATACACTATGGGATTGATTTACAAACTCACAACTTCAGAGTTAGTGTCTTCAATCGAAACCATTTGCTGGAACAAAGCAAACTTGAAGTAGAGACCACAAGAGTCAATATTCTGTTATTGAGAAACCAAACTGGACAGCATGCATTCAAAATCTTAAGCACTTTTGCCCCAGCCAGTTAATGCCAGCTTTTTTCCTCAACTCTTCCTTATTTATATCTAATTACTCAAAGTCCTCATCTTCCCTAGTTTGACACCCTTTTATAACTGTTATTTCTTGATCAGATATTTTCATGTCATATAAAGTAATGACAAGGTATTGCACTTTAAATTAAGGCAACACATTCAGGACAAAGTAACTATAATTCTCTTTACACTTTCTCCTGACTGCACATACTCGTGCAGTTATACAGTGCCAGGAAGTCTCCAGACTACATCTGCCTTGTGCAAGCCTAAACAATGAGTCTAGCGATGGTGGTGTTAGTGGTATCAATGACTAGCTCTCAAGAGCCTGGGAACCTTGACCATTATTTCCCTTTTCAGATGTCCTGGATGTATCCACAGATCTTTCAGAGCTGCCTTAGCTGGGATCAGCTAACTTAAGACAAAATGGAACTTGGAACCTTCCGGTCAATATAGCCAAGTGCTTTTTTGAATGTTGACTTTGAACACCATTCTTAGGCAAGGTGATAGCAAACTTCAGATCACAGATCTAACTACTAGCTTCTCAATAGATATATTCTGTTGAGGGGCAGGCAGGGAGATAAAGATTTACAGAACATTTTATTCTGTACTAAACTACAAACATGTTACTTATTAAAAGTTGAGGAATAGTGGTAGAGAGATACTGACTGAATTGACATACACAAAGCAATCAAAAAGTCTCCAATTGTCAGAGTAGTGAGACAAAGTTGCGCACGACAGGATGAAAGAAAGTTAAAACAGCAAATATGAACAGTGTCTCTGCTTTTTCATATTCTTTGTGCATTAGTTAAAACAAAAATTATCTAGCCTTTCAATCATGGTTGTTTCTCATTTGAAACAACTGTCTTTTCTATGTTACTAATGCATCATTTACAGTTAGAGATTGTACTCACCATTTGTGCAGCCAACACACTGGAGAATTCACTGTTCATTGCATAAGGCAATGCTGTCTGTGCCCTTGATCCATATGTAGTTTGAAATCTTTTCTTTATTTCATTTAGAAAAGTAAATGCTCTTGATCGCTCAAAATCCTAAAATGTTAAAAGGAACAACATTGCCATTTGAGATGACAGGACTTCATTTAAGTTTCAAAGGATCGTATATATGCAAATGGACAACAAGAACAATTGTCAACATGTTCCTTTCCTGGGGCGCAATTGAAGGTCAGCCCGTTCTTTCTCTTAACATTACCACTACAAATCAGTCAGGAGACTTGAAATACCTAGAGATTAAAATCTAGGTGATCTGGATTACAGGACATTCTTACATTGTATAAGGAAAGTTGTCAAAGCAGTTTAAAATAACAAATCTGCTCATTAAAAAACAAATTAATTGTGCAAACAGCACTCATTACTGGCTCTGTAAATCTCTATACCATGTTTAACTACATGCTGCTAATCCCCAAAGGTTACTTGTTTAGATTTCATACTTACGTCATCTGTGATACACAAGTATATTATTCTCTCTTGGCAAATATAATGGAATAAGTAACTGAAAAAAAAGTGAGGAGAAATTGGTTAATATGCAAAAGCTGGTTAAGTTGAATAGTTTGTTATTAATTTATCAATATGTTCAGTCACTAGCCACTTGCAGTGGACATGAAGATGAAAAATATATTTTTCTGCAACTATTTGGCTATTTATGATTATTAGTTGACATGATTAGAACAGTAATTCTTTTTTAACTTAAACAGAATGTGGAGGTCATTGGTTGTGTCAAAATTAGTTACCCTTCAGAAAATGTTGGGTTGTTTTCCTAAACATCTACAGCCATTTGGTGTAGGTACCCTCGTTGTTGGGAAGGGACTACTAGGATTTTGACCCAGTGTCAAGGGAAAAAAAAAATGGCAAAAGAGTTTCAAATCCAGATAATGAGAGACCTGGAAGAGAATTTGCAGTCAGTGGTGTCCCCATCCACCTGCTGCCTTTGTCCTTCAAGGTGGCAGAAGTCACTCTAAAGGACCCTTGGTGAGTTGTTGCAGTGTATACTCTATATGGCACATATTGCTGTCACTGTGCAGTAGTGGAAGGAGTGAATATTGAAGGTGTTAGATGGGATGCCACCAATCAAGTGACCTACTTTGTACTGAATGGTGTGAAGCTTCAAGTATTGTTGGAGTTGCACTTGTCCAGGCAAATGGAGTGTATTTCTTCACAGTCCTGATTTGACCCTTGTAGATGATGCATACACTTTGGGGAACAGGAGATGAATTACTCACTCCTAGCCTTTTACCTGCTCTTGTAGCCACAGTATTTAAGATGGCTGGTGCAGTTCAGCTTTTTATAAATGGCAGCCCTGAGGATGTTGATGGTAGGGGATTCAACAATGGCAGAAGTTTCTATAGGCACATGTAATATCATTCATAAAAGTGACTTACAAAGCATGTCAGCACATCAAATAAAAAGTTAGGAAACTGAACACGCAAAAAGAGATAGGGTTTGAAAATTTTGAAAAGGTATATTGACTATATGAAATTCTAATGGAGGAGAGAGTCTGGAAACAAAAACTACTCCAGACTCAGAGGCAGTGTACATACACCTGGACATCTGACTGAAGAATATCCAAATAGCTTGTTGAGAGATGGAGAGATTTGTAAATAGGTGCACCAGTTGAGCCATTGGAGGAGGAGAGTGTCCAAGGAGTTTGTTAAATTTAACGCAGAAGACTGCAGACTCCGAATTGCCGTAAATGAAATTTGTGCTAAGTGGATGTGGTTAATGAGATTTGTATTTGAAAAGAATTGATCAGGTGATGCAAGGTATAGGCAAAGTGAAAATAAAGCAGATAATTTTCTAAACAAGACGACTGTGACTTTGGTTACATACCAGTTGTAAGCTTGGAAGGAGTATGGTACAAAGTTATGACATAAACAGATTACGTAACACTACACCTACAAAAGGCAAAACCCTCGTAAAACAACAAAATCAACATACAATGCAAGTAGCCTTGCTCAAACCTATCTAGATTCCATTTATTGAATCCAAACAATGTTACAGATTAGCAATTGCACATTATAACAATTAACTTTTTATCTCACCAAGATATAGGATATTCAAGATGTTTTAAAGCAAAATTTACAAAGCTTAAAGTGTGGTTTAGCAATGCAGTGCCATTGTCAATGCATTGTCTCTATTCTTCTGTCTGACTCAAGTACAAACCAGGAGCTGGCAGTCATTTGGCCCTTCAAGTCTGCTCTGCTTTTTAATATCATAGCTGATCCTTTACATCTCTGGAGATGCCCACCTTCTCTCATACCCCTTGATGCCTTTTATAGTTTAGAAAACTTGAACTTTCTTGAATACATTAAGCGAGTTAAAATTTAGTTCTGATTGTGTGGATGACGTCTCTCCTACCAAATGCCTATGTAAAATTAAATTTGGGTTCATTACATAAATGCAGTTAAAGTCAGCAGCAACATGGCAGCCATAGATAAGCTGAAATTAGAAATGGAAAAATCTTATTAGCACTACAATGACGATTTTCTCAATTTTAGAGAAATTGATAAAACAGAGTTAAAGCAAGTTTACTCTCCATCCATTAGAAGTAACCCAACTAGTTGACCCGAAAAGGGGTGAGCTATTCAGCAGAGCTGTTTCACCATTCTAGGTGATCAATCATCTCAGTGCCAGTTTCTTCCCCACTATTACAATGTCCCTTAAGTGACATTTTGTCTTCAACCTGCACAATGATTGAGCTTCCTCAGCCCTCTAAGAGTAGAGAATTCTAAAAAGACTCATGCCTTTCATTTGAAGATTTTCCTCCTTATCACAGTCTTAAAATGGTGTGCTCCTTAGCCAGAGATTCGTCCCTGGGTCTAAGGTCACAGAGGAAGTGCCCTATTTATATCTACATTGTCACATTGTGTGAATTGTATAGGTTTCAAAAAGATCACTTTTTGCATTTCTAAGTTCTAGAGAACACAGACCCAGTTTCCTCAATCTTTCATGACAATCCTGTCATCCCATTAATCTGGTGATCTTGCTAAAATGGACAAGTATTCAAATTTCAGTGTATTTTTGGCTGTGCGGTAGTAAGTCATTCCATTAAACTCTATTTTCCAAAGAGTATGGATACAAAAACATGGTCAATCTCATTAACCATAAAATAACAGGGTGGAAAAACCCTAGTCTAGGATCACAATGGTGTTAAATTACAGGAATTTCATTGTGAACGTTTATTCTACAGAATGTCCAATAAATACAAGAAAGAATGGTTCACTACCAGAATAACTTTTCCATATATGCATGATATTGCGAGTAGAAATGAAGCTTCTGCTTTTATTTTAATTCAAAATATGCCAAAAACTTCTCAGCACGTGAAAGCAGCAGTGCAATAGTTATAAAATTCTCAGATCAAAGATTTTGGGACTTACTTTCCATGAGAATAAGTCAGTTTATTATTTTCAGATGGTATTTTTGATAGTATCTGTTCAGTCACTTCCAAAAAATTCCCTCCACACCAGGCATTCTTTGCCAGGATGGTAGTGCCTCTTGCAACTACTGCAAACAAGATAGCCATGGCTCCTCTGAAAAGGTGATACAAGATACAAACGTACATCACGTAATTTTCAAATCACTAGATTACAACAGAATAAATACTCCCACTATCAACAATATTTTTCTACATACTGAAAAGTACAAGACGTCATAATGAGAAAAAGACAGTTTGGGAAAGGCAGGATCACAGTTAGAAATTAAGGATCATGACAGCCAGACAAGAAAGTTTTAAAGTCATAGTGCTTTGCTTAGAATCAATTTTAATGTTGGCCTGGAAATAGGATTGAAATGAATGTTCACCTTACTTCGTAGAATCATGCATTACAGAAAAGGCCCTTTGGCCCATGAACTCTTTACTGCCAAAACTACACTATTACCATCTACATTAGGTCCATAGACTTAAATATTATGACACTTCAAGTGTTCATCCAAGTACATTTTCAAAAGTTGAGGTTTCCCACCTCAACTACCATCCCAGTCAGTGTATTCCAGATCCCCATCACCATACAGGTGAAAAAGCTTTTCTCTAAATCCCCTCTAAACCTCCTGCTTTTTACCTTAAAAATTATACCTCCTTGTTAACCCAGCCACCAAGGGGAACAAGTCCGTTCTCCTCAGTATTATACACCTCAACCTTCTCTGCTGCAAAGTAAATAACCTGAGCTTATCCACTCTTTCTTTGTGGCCAAAATGCTCCATCCCAGTGGATCATTTTTGCACAGCCAACAGTGCAAATACAGAGATAACACGATGTAGAGCTGGATAAACACAGCAGGCCAAGCAGCATCAGAGGAGCAGTAAAGCTGACGTTTCGGGTCGAGAACCTTCTTCCGAAAAATGCAAATACACCCTTCCAATAGGGTGGCGACCAGCTGTGGCCTAGAGCTCCAAATGCTCTTTGCAGGACGTCACAAAATTCAAGAGTCTCAAACTGATCCTCCAACTAATTTCGCTTTCGAGCTTCCTTCACCAACAACCATCCACGTTTCGCAGTAATGTTAGATACTCAAGTACGGGTCTTACAACAAACGGAAGAAACGATGCGATCCAACACAGTCCACAGTTGAAGTTCTCCACCTGCAGCTCATCAAAACACCAGTGACACCTGAGCCCTTTCCCTAGATAAACATTCCCCAAACTGGAAGCTCCACACTACAACGTTACACGTCTTCACCATAAAAACAAACAGAATCTACAAACTCTGGGCTAGCTCGACTAACGTCCTAATGACAGTAACAATTAACCAAAAACTATCCCATACCCTTCCCTGAGCTTCCTCCACTCCGGGGCCTTATTATCCTCAAGCTTCTCCCTTTCCACACACTTCCGGTCAGGTGAGCCCTTTGCACCGCGCACGCACAGGTCGGCACGGCCAGCCTTCTCACATAACGCCCGCACGGTGGGCCTTACGTGAATTATGGGAAATGTCGTTCACGCCGTGAAAGTAATGGACATTAACAGGCGCGTTTATCCATAGAAGACTACAATTCCCGGCATCCATGGAGAGTGACGTTTAATACCGGCGTCGACATCAAGGGCCGAAGTGGACCCGAGAGCGGCAGCGTGAGCATGGCAACAGCTGAAGGGACGCAGAAACCTGTCCTGGAAGTGGTGAGTACGTTCTCTCGGAGTGTCCAGCACTTGACTAACCTTGTTTATTTTTGTTTTGGAGGCGGTACTCGAGAAAATTGATAAAATCATAGATGCAAGTGATCTGAGTTTTCAAAAGGCCTTCAGAAGGCGTTTGGAAAGAACGATAAGGTCAGAGAATATGGAGTCTGGAGACAGACTTAATTATTAGCTGGCTTCAAAGCAATTACCTTATATCACAGAAAAAAAAAAGAAAAATACTTATGACTCAAATATGAAGTTCTGAGAATGTCAACAAGAATAAGTGGTGGGTATAGAAGACCGTTGAAATCCAATGCTATGCAGACCTCTCTAACATTCTCAGCTATTTCCAGGCCACCTTAGACCTTCTATGGTTCAAAAACAAACAATCTTGAAGACAGTAGTATACTCCTTAAATACGATGTAGTCACCCAAGATTTTTGGAAAGAGCATTACTAGTTTCAGACAAGATTCCAGCAGTTTGATAGATTAACTTTGGGTATATGCCCACTTTTGCTGAGAGACAAAAGACTATCCAAAAGATGAAGTATAACAAGCTGTATGGTTGGACAATGTTTCTGCAGAGATCAGTAAAGCGGGTAGGCATGAACATTTGCTCAAACCTTCAGACTTCATACAAATCAGGGAAGAAGATGTATTTCTTCTCAGCTTCCACAATACCATTATTGTTTTCCTATTTTAAGAAGGGTGCAAAATTAGTACCATCACTGTACTATCGTCAGGATTCGAGGTCTTTGTGGTATCCAGTGCCTTCAGCTGTTTTTTGATATCATACAGAGTGAACTGAATTGGCTGAAGACTGGTATAAGTGATGTTGGTGTATAAGGTGCGTACTCAGCACTTCTGGCTGAAGAGGGTTGCAAATGTTTCATCCTTGTCTTTTGCATAGATATGCTAGGCTGCCTTTCATTGAGGAAAGAGTTGTTTATGGAGCCTACTGCTCCACTTGTTCAGTTGTCCACTACGTTGATGACTGGATGTTGAAAAGCTGCTCAGCTTAGGTTTGATTCATTGATTGTAGGATCGTTTAGCCCTCTCTATATCATTTGCTGCCTCTGCCATACTTTGAGGTATGTCTGGGTTAGCTCCTGCCATGCCCTCTTGCACTCTTCATTGAATCAGGCTCTCAGCTTGATGGTAATTGTACAGCAGAGTTATGCAAGGCCATGAAGTTACAGATTGTAGTTGAATATAATTCAGTTGCTGATGGCCCACCATGCCTCAAGGATGCTTAGTTTTCAGGTGCTATCCCATTCTGTCCCATTTAGTAGAATGGTAGCGCCATGTAGTAGGATAGAGGGTATTTGCAATGTGAAGATAGGACTTTACAAGAAGTGGCCTGTCCAACCAATAAGGTAATTGACAGATTCATTTCCACTGGCTAGATTGGTCTGGACCTTCTCCGTTTAGCAAACTGGACCCTCTTTGCTCTAACAAACAAACAATCCATGCTTGCTATCAAGAGCATTTCAGAACAGGTCACATAACCACTTTTCAATTCATCATGAATTGAAGATCCAACCCCAAGAGATGATGATCTTAAAGCTTTCATCATTTTAATGTAATCAGTCACAGAGAAAGCTCTTGACGCTTGATCATTCAGGAAGTCTGGCCGTCACTGTTTTGGTAGGATGGGGTACAATTCTTCAAATCTAAACTAAACAGCAGGTTGGATAGAGGTAAGCAGAGATGTAGATTTAAACTTTCAAACAATCTCTTCTCCCAAGCTATTGACCCTGTTCATCTTTGTGACCACTGTTTAAGACTGTTGTTGAATATGACTCCAAATTAGCTGACTGCATATTCACTTCAACACAAAGATTGCCTCCTTCCAACTCTGCAGCACTGCTTGATTCACCTCCTATCTCAGCTCATCTGCTGCTGAGATCGTAACTTGTCATTGTTACCTTAGAACTTGAATATTTAAATACACTTCTGGCTGATCTCCTATTTTCCCCCCTACATAAACAAGCTCATATAACTTTATAGCTTTACTGGAACCAAGTCCTGTTCACACATCATCTCAATGTTTTCTGATCTACATTTACTCAGATCTTGCAATTTTTAAAATTATAAATTCTCATCTTTATTTTCACATCATTCTGTGATCTTACTACTCCCTGTCTCACTATAACTTTCTACTGAGCCCTCTTTAACTCTGCAAAACCTGTTCTCTAATTGCCATTGGCAGTCTGTGGACTCTAAGCTCCAGAATTCCTTCTTTCCTTAATCTTCTCTGCCTCGGTCTCCTTTCAGAAGGTCCTCAAGACCTATTAATTTGATCAAGAGTTTGGGCATTATCCTGATTTTTTTTTTAATGTGGCTTGGTGACAAATTTTGTTTGCTAAGGCTCCTGTGATTATTTCTTGTTACATTTAAAATGCAAGTTGTTCTTGTAATTTTCTTACTTGACATTTTCAAGCGTTGGCTTGGATCTCTGATCACTTGAAAGCTGTCTGATGTTGACTTGTCTTCAGGTTGTGTATGAGTTTAAAGCGGAGCAGGTATTTGTGTATTATGGTTGTTGTCAATTGTATGACAGATATTAAGCAAAGTTGAGGAGAGTATTCAAAGGCAGGTGCCATTGTTATGTTCAGAGGCTAATAAGTTGATATTGTGCTGATTTTAAAATAAGGAATGTAGCAATATTTAATTGATGCCAATCATCATCTATTGGCTGCAATCCTGGTATATCTAACATTGTACACCTGCGTCTAAAAGTGATGTAAGATGGCCTGGTGAGACATGCATTTTATATTTAAACAGATTACTTATTGGGTGTGCACTCCACGTACAACGTCTGTTGTAAATTAATGGGAGCATTTTAAGGTAAACTGTATGGAGTGAGCTGTGTTCAAGTCTGGGATATTGAAGTCCACATGGCCAAGGAAATAATTGGTTTTGCAGTTTTTTTTGATTCATTCACAGGATGTGGGCATCGCTGGCTAGGCTAGCATTTATTGCCCATCCCTAATTGACCAGAGGGCAGTTACAAGTCACATTGCCGTGGGACTGGAGTCACTTGTAGGTCAGGACAGCAGTCTGCTTGCCTAGAGGACATTGGTAAACCAGTTTTTTTGTTAAAAATGACATTCATGATGTCATGGTCATCATTAGATTCTTAATTTCAGACTTTTTTTGAATTTAAACTCTTCCTCCTGCGATGGCAGGTTCAAGCCCAGATCATGACCTGAGTCTTTGGATTAATAGTCTCACAATAATATCACAAGGACATCGTCAACCCTGGCCCTGTCAAGCTATGCTGGTGCATATGATAAGGTAAAACAAAAATAAAAGATTCAACTGACAAAAACAGAAAATCCTGGACAAACTCAACAGGTCTGGCAGCATCTCTGGAGAAAAAACCAGAGCCAATGTGCCGAGCCCAATGGCACTGCTGAGTTTCTTCAGTACTTTGTTTTTCTTTCATACGATAGGGTAGTTTCTCTGTTACAAAGTAATAGAGTTGTACAGCACAGAAGCATACCCTTCCGTCCAACTTGTCCGTACTAACCAGATATCCTGAATTAATCTAGCCCCTTTTGCCAGTATTTGGCCCATATCCCTCCAAACCCTTCCTATTCATGTAACTGTCCAAATGTCTTTTAAATGTTGTAATTTTACCAGCCTTCACCACTTCCTCTGGCAGCTCATTTATACATGCACTGCCCTCTGTGTGGAAAATTTTGTCCCTTAGGTCCTTTTTTAAATCTTTCCCCTCTCACCTTAACCCTATGCCCTCTGGTTTTGGACTCCCCTATTCTGGGAAAAAGACTTTGGCTATTCACCCCATCCATGCCCCTAATGATTTTATAAATCTCTATAAGATCACCCCTCAGCCTCCAATGCTCCAGGGAAAATAGCCCCAGACTATTCAGCCTCTCCCTATAGCTCAAATCCTCCAACCCTGGCAACATCCTTGTAAATCCTTTCTGAACCCTTTCAAATTTAACAATATCTTTCCAATAGCAGGGAGACCAGAGTTGTACACAGTATTCCAATAGTGGCCTAACCAATGTCCTGTACAGCCGCAACATGACCTCCCAACTCCTATACTCGATGCACTGATCAATAAAGGCAAGCTTACTGAATGTTTTCTTCACTACCCTGTCTCAAGCTTACTGAATGTTTTCTTCATTACCCTGTCTATCTGTGACTTCACCTTCAATGAACTATGAACCTGCACTCCAAGGTCTCTTTGTTTGGCAACACTGGCTAGGATCCTGCCATTAAGTGTATAAGTCTTGTTCTGATTTGCCTTGCCAAAATACAACACCTCATGTTTATCTAAATTAACTCAATCTGCCACTCCTCGGCCCGTCAGCCCACCTGATCAAGGTCCCATTGTACCCTGAGATAACCTTCTTCATTGTCCACTACACCAGCAATTTTGGTGTCATCTGCAAACTTACTAATCATACCTTCTATATGACAAAGCAGCGGAGCCAGCACCGGTTCCTGTGGCACGCTGCTGGTCACAGACCTCCAGTCTGAAAAACAACCCTGCTCCACCACTCTGCTGTAATCTTAAGTTTCTGATTCCTGGATGGCTTTGATTTATACATTAAATTTGTTTTTACTGATGCACTCTGTTTGTCTGTCTCAAATTTGGGAGGTCCAATGCTAAAGAAATATTAGTGAAGGAATGCTTTTGCTGAGTGCAAAACTGAATTCAGTGGCGTGAGTTGTAATATCACTGATGTTGGCCGTCTGTCAAATGCACTGTCTACAATTACAGAGAAGAAAGTGAGAAAGAAGAGATAATACAGTGTGGAGCTGGAGGAACACAGCAGGCCAGGCAGCATCAGAGGAGCAGGAAAGTTGACATTTCAGGTTGGGACCCTTCTTCAGAAGTGAGAAAGAAGCAGGGTTGTGCTAGAAAATAATTTCAAAACTGTTTACATCAATAACTATGATCATGCTTGGGGTCCAGTTTCTTAATGCTCCCATTATCAGCTTTTGCAACAACACTCCAAAATAATATTTCATGGTTCTGGTGCTGGTTCTGAGGAAGGACCACCAGACCTGAAACATTAACTCTGTTTTTTCCTTCACAGATGCTGCCAGACCTGCTGAGCTTCTCCAGCAACTTTGTTTTTGTTCCTGATTTACAGTATCCGCAGTTCTTTCGGGTTTTTATCATTTCATCATATGTGTCTAAACAAGCCTGACAGTGGATGAAGGCATCAGCAACATGAAAGTGATAACATTTTTGCTTTTGCTTGAGGGCAACATGCAAATCACATTGTAGTCACATTTTAATTCTTTCAATTTGTCACAGTGTACAAATAAAAATAGAAGTTGTGCACTTATGTCACTGTCAAGGAATCTTGGCACAACTGTTGCCATGCTTGAGTCTCTGAAATGCTATAACGGAATGCACCATGCTGCTTTAAATAATTTCTAACCTAGTCATTGTCTTCTTTACACTTCAAATTTTGATCAGAAGCTCTGAGTCACTCCAAGTTGGTGTCAGGATCCTGAACATATCACCAGACCTATTTGAATATGTTCACAGGCTTCTTTATCTGTTTCTGTTTAACCAACTTCCTGTTGTGGTGTTACATTCCTTTACTACCATGTTTCTTAATTTTATTAAGAAGCAAAATATTTTTGAATATCCAAGTACTCAACACCTGCCCCTTCCACTGAGATTTCTTTATTTATACAGTCCCATAATTCCCATATTTCTTATTATTGCAAAAGGGGCTGAAAATATTTCAGAATCCGTGTACTCAGGATATATGCTGTGATGTGTAGTTATTTTGCAGTGGAAAGAGAACTGAGGATGTTTTTCCTTATTGTGATCTTGACAGACTTTTTGTAATTAAAGAAGTGATCAATAATTATAGGAACATTGAACTTTTTTTGTTGTTTTTGCAATGGTTGGGAGGAAGGAATCAATACTGTCTTGCATTCATGGTTTATTTGTTATTCTGCATCTCTTCTAGGTCCAAGCAGAAGGTTGTGATGATTCCAGCGTTACATTTGTGTTGCATGATGAGGACCACACACTTGGGAATGCACTACGGTATATGATTATGAAGAAGTAAGCAGTTTAGCTATCTGTAGTTGAATATTTGGAAATGCTCTGTTGGAAAGTTGAGGCCAAACAGCATGATTAGCACTCGTTAATTCAGATGCATGATTGAAAATCAAATAGTTTAAATTGGAGTGTGTGAATGTTCTTATTTAATTTTAACAATTTTTTTCTTTTACATGCTTGTGATGTATTCTAATGAGAAACAGTGGTAAATAGTCTTTGAATAGACTTTTTTGGTCAGTGTGGGATTAGATTAATACATGATTACAGATGGGGTTCTGTCCCAGTATTTTTTTTTCTCAATTGACACCAATCCTAGTACTTATGTAGAGAGCAAACTATGTAAACAAAACAGAAATAAAGGCCATAGCAAATGTGTGTATGTTTTATCCATTTCCCATTCACACGGTCAGCATTACTTATCCTGCAGATAGCAACAAGGTAGGGTTACATTGGTTCTATTGCAAAATTAAATTGAAACCATTCCAACTCCTCTCTGAATAATCTTTCAGAAGCTTCAGTAAATAACTTCTATCCCATCTGTATTTGCACAGCAGACTTTTTGAAGTATATTTTGTTGCAACTTTTATGTGTGGCATGAGACCACTGTTGAAAAGTCACGAATTTGAAACGTTACCTCTGTTTTTCTCTTCACAGATGTTGCCTGACTAGCTGAGTATGTTTTGAGTTCGGGTTTCCAGCACACTCAGTGTCTTGCTTTGTATTTTTTAAACTTGTTCATGCAATGTGAGCATTGCTAACATTAGGTACCCGTCCTTAATTGACCAGTGAGCATATTCTCAAGGGCAATGTATTTCCTTTTCTCAAATGTTTTGATTGTATTTTAATGTACTGATCAATCCTTTCAAAATAAACAGATAGACAAACTCGACAAACAGTCCACAAAGCAATGTGTTTTGAACCAATAAATTGTGTGATACCAAAGAGAAACAGACTGGAAATAAGGAAAGGCTGATCAATCCAATTTCTTTTTCCATATGTATCAATTCTGTCTTGATAGCAAACTAGAGCTCTACAATGTTCAATCAGGTCATTTTCTTAAGGTAGATGAGATGATTCCAAATTTGCACTGTAGTATTGCAGAGTGTTGGGGCAATACAACTCCGCATATGACTTTGAGTTTAGTATGGGAGAAGAATATTGTTTTGAAAATTTGTTACTGTAGAACTGTTACTGCACAAATCTGCTCATTGTAAAATAATAGTGCACAGATACAAAAAGTGATCAAAAGGCTAACCAGTGTTGAACTTCAAAGTGATTGGAATTCAAAAGTTATGCTTCAGTTGCACAGAGCTTTGTCCGAAACTTATCTGGAATACTGTGGTTCAGATTTGAGTATTGAACCTAGGGAAAGCTGCAGTGGCTGTGAAAAGGGTACCTGTGCTAATTCACCAGAATAATGCAAGAACTTAAAGCGTTCAATTATAAAGACAGATTACATTAACATCCCTTTTTAGTCCTTTGGGTAGAAGGTTGAAGGTAATTGAATATTGGTACTTAAAATGATTAAGGCATTCAACAAAATTAGATACAGGGAAAATCTTTGCTCATTGGAGAAAGGATTGTGAAGCTTTGGGTTAGATTGTAAATGGTATTTGCCTATAATACTCACAGTGCAACCAATACTGTTTTTCTCTCCCTTGAATATTCTGTAACTGCCACCGATAGACTGAATTCTATATAAACTTACTAATTTGGAGAAGAATGAACAACATTTTCAGGAATGAATTGAACCAGAAAGGAATTTATGGATATAATCAAAACCAAGAACTGCATATGCTGCAAATCTGAAACAAAAACAGAAATTACTGGTGAAACTCAGCAAGTTTGGCAGCATCTGTGGAGTGAAAATAGAGTTAATGTTTCGAGAATAGTGACTCTTTCTGAAGAAGGGTAATGGGAATTTATGGAATTCTGTGCAGGCTTTTAAGCCCCTTCCATTCTTTAGCTGATACATAACAACAGCCCATTTAATCTTGTTCTCCAAAATTGCTTGATCTCAATCATTGCTTGATGTAACCAGCTGTGCACTTTAATCGTGCCAGAATTATTTTCTGTAGATAACTAAAATATTTTAATATTAAATTTAAATGTACAGTTTTATACCTTTAAGCTACAGTCTATAACTTATCACACATTTTGTGAATATAGTTGTGATGGTGCGAATCAAGTGATCATGCTCAATGTATTTTTATTTGTGGTTACAGTCTCCACACCAAATTATTAACCGTTTAGACTCGTATTGAAGTTCAGTAACAGAGAGCTATTGAATTGCAGCAACATAAAAGTCTGTAGATGGTTTAGGGAACGTATTAGATTTGACTTTACCACAGTTAGTGAGTTAAATTACTACATTTCAGTCGAGTTCTTGTCGTGCTTCACTGAGGTAACGTGCTGAAAATTGAACCCTGCTATTCCGAGAGTAAGCGCAAAAGTAAAAAATGTTATCAAAGTATACAAAGTCCCGAATTTACCTGCCAGATGCACTCAGGTTAACAGAAAACTTGGACCAGGTTTCTGTACTTAACAGGAACTAATATTTGTTACAAATAAAATGGATTCTAATCATAGGTAAACAACTATGAACTGTTGACATACTATTTTAAACTTGAACCCGTCCCCCTAACCAAACCCCAACAGACGCACACAGACGCACACAGACGCACACAGACGCACACAGACGCACACAGACACGCACACGCGCACACACACACAAAAAAAGTTGGTGGTATGGATGGAGTGAAACAAAATTCTTTTCTTCATTCTCTTTTCTCCAGGTTCTTTTCACTTCTTTGCAGGAGGTCTATGCAATTGGTACATTAACTGCAAAGTTTCTTAGTTACTGGCTAAAGAGCACAGCTTACAGCAACTGGTAAAGGAAAATAAATTGGCTTTCTTCAGGCTTTAGGTATTTTACTGGAAAGTAAGACACACTATCTGTCCTTGTAGCAGTCTGAAGGCTTCTGTCGGTACTATTCACATCCACAAGCTACTCAGCTACCCAGGAACCAATTGGATATTTGTTGTCAGGTTTTGGCATCCACAACTGGTCATAACTTCAAAAACCAATCAGCAGCCTGTTGTGGGAAGCGTCTCACTTTGTATATGCTTCCTGGTGCCGGCCTGTCTACAAATGGTCTCCCCCAGTGCTTGAACAAAGCAACAGTGTAAACCCACCTTGCACCAAGTTTCAGTTTTTAAAAGTATAGCCATTCCTTCCTCGGGCCATTGCTGTAAGACAGTCCTTTTCCCATTTCAGTCCACGATCAAACATATATTAAAAAAAGGTATGATCTTTACATAATGCAATTTGAAAGTGAGATGGAAACATCCCAGTAATCTGGATCTATATGTGGAAAGCCAAAATTGAAGAAGTCCCTGTTACTCATCATTGTAGCTCATACCCTCCTCTTACACCCACTTTGGTCACCATAGGTTCCCTGGAAAAGGATTCCATTATATTTTCTTTTCTGGATTGTAGAAATTTCATGTGTAACATTCTAGGACAAAGATCACTTAAACCAAGCCCAAAGATTATCCTTTTGAAATGAAAAGTCTTTTAAAATTACAGAAAAGTTTTATAATCTGGTGAAAAAGGAATTTTTAACTTTACATTTCACTTTTTAAGCCTAATTTCTTTATTCTCAGCCCAGAAGTAGAATTTTGTGGCTACAGCATCACTCATCCATCAGAAAGCAAAATTAACTTCAGAATTCAAACAAGAGGTAATTCCTGTATTTTGTTCCATTAAGACCCTCTGTCTAATTTGAGGAAATTTTCAGTATTGATTAATCTTTTGTCTTATGCTCTGTACATCTTTATTGTTTCCTTGCTGTCATTGATTTTGAGGTTGTTGTGCATACTGTATATATGATACTCACGACTTATCTACTAAGTGCATGCTTTTGTTTCTGTATGGATACATGGTGAGAAGGATCGTCATTCAGAAAATGAGATGTGATAATTTGAGAAATTCAAACAATTAATCAGCTGTCAAATATTTCAGTGGAGAGCATGCCTCAGATGCCCAGTTTTTGCTGATGGTCATGACAGGATTGCTATCAAATGTATCTATTAATTTCTACAATATTTAAACTTTCAATAGTGTCTAGTTTTTATCTTCATCTCTCCTAAAGGCTCATGCTTGGAGTGCAAATGAAAATGATCTACAGCACTGTAGTATCATAGCATCAAAGAAAAATTACAGCATAAAAGAGACCATTCAATTCATCTTGTTGCTACTAGCTAAATAAACTAGCTGTGCATTCTAATCCACCTTTCCAGCGCGTGGTCTGTACTGTAGCATTCCATGTTCAAGCATTTCGGATACATATTCATTCAGAGATAGCAGTAGCCAGAAAGGTCCTCGTGATCTTTTCCTAGATGAGACGGCCATTTTAAGATGACAGCTCCAAATTGCTAGACTATCCCACCCTGCATTTACAGTAGACACTTAACTTAATCTTCCATGTTTCTTAACTATGGTTTATAAAGCACCTGATCAAGTACATCATGCTGCTTTAAAAGTTTGTGTCCAAGAGGAAATTAAAAATGATTCTTAATGGGATTATTAGTGGAGACAAGAATACTGATCGGTTGTTCAGTGTGTGACAGACACATGTGTACTTATCTCACCATTGCCCTTAAGCTCCGCCATACAACTGAGTTTCTCCCAGTTATTCCCTATTCTTTGTGATGTCATATTCCAGGCTCATACCGAAGGGCACGGACAAATTCAGGTTCCTCTTCCTTTCGGCTAACACCTTTTCAAACCCCATCATCCTTATTTTCTAAATGTAGAATTGGTTGACTGCTGTATTTCTGAGATTGAGGTCATCAGCTTTTTTGGCTATTCTCCACCAAGTCATCCACTCATACCAGTTGTCATTTCTTGGCATTTCTCACATCCATTTCGTCCTCTCATTTCCTCCATGACTGCATCTTCTGACCATTGACTTTGCCTGTTCTTAGCTCATATTAATACTTTTCTTTCTTTTGGTATTATCCCCTTTCCATTGTTTTAAAAAAAAAAAAAAAATTGTCACTCTTCCTCAATACACCCATCCAACTTATACATCTTTATCTTTTAGCCTCACTTTTGGGTCTTTAGGCCTCTTCTGCCTCCTAGCTTGCATGCTCTTGTCTCTGAAAGCTTTCTTTTTGAGCTCCACCAGTCCACTGAAGTGTTGCTGGCTGTTCTTACAAATGGCATTTCTGTGACCTTAGCATATAATTCCCTCCTCAATCTCTTTGTAATGTTTGAATAAGTTGACAGTCATGCTTTCCCATCTTTACCAATGTTAAACTCTAATTGAACTGTATTTGCCTTGATTACTGTATTATAATTCAATAAACCTCAACAATAATTGTATCTGTTCTTATCAGAGTCATTTCAAAACTCATCCAAAGTTTGATGCTATCTGTTGTCTCTTCCCCTTGATATGTTGACTCTCATCAATATCACCCATAGATATGTATTCACCTTTTATTTGTACACTTAACACCAGATCTACATTACCAATATAACACTTGGCTCTCTATTTGATGCTCACAGAGTACTTGTTTGACAACAATTCTTAGATAAGGTCCAGCTGTCTCCAACTTAACATTGGAAGACCAAAAATGTCATTATCTTCAGCTCCGACATAAACTCTTGCTTCTTCTATTGATTCTTTTTCCCTTAGAGGCATTTGTTCAGACTGTATCAGATTATACAAAGCCTTTGTATCAGTTCCACCCTGACCTGAGTTTAAAATCTGACATCCCTTCCCACATTAACTTCTCAGTTCCAACCTTGTCTCCTCCAGCCTCTTTGTTACTGAAATCCTTATCCTTTATTTTTAACTTTTAGACACTGTTATTCAATCCCTGAGTTTCTGTTTTCGCATGTTCCAACTTGTCCTATACACTTTTCCAATCTTGCTAAAGAATACTAATTCACTATCCACTTGTGCTCATTTTCAAATAATTTCATGGCCTTAAACTTTTTTTATTACGGTTTCTTCCTGCATTAAATTCTTTAACTTTCTACTTGAGCTTCCTTTGCATCGCATTGCTTGTGGATCCCTCAACTGTCTAGGCTTTACAGTATGATGTTCTTCCCTAAGCCTCTTCATCAATTTGTGGAAATCCTATGTTTTTGACCAGCATTTGAATCAGTCTTTCACTTCTGCCTGCATATGTTTCTCTGTTTTAGTTTGTAAAGCACCTTTTTTTTTAACATTATGGAAGCTATATAAGTATCAGTTACTCTTATTTGTCCATGGAGGATGACGTAACTGATTATCTTTTCATGTTCTCACTTGACATCGATGCATGTATTTGGAGTATGCTGGGTTTTCTTCTCTTTTACCCCAAGTATGCTGTGGTCGATTGGTCACAAAATCAATCCTCTTCTGGGTCAGTTTGGCTACCTCAGCAACAGGTAGATGATTGGTTCTTTGAGTTTATTGTTGGCATGGCTTAGCACTGGAGAATACATTTGTGCTTTCTGGTTGGGTTACTCAGTACCTTTTTTGTGTTAAAAGCTGATATTATTGTGTCTGGCTCACAAAAGTGAAACCTGCAGTAAACAATAGTTTTAGGCGCTTAAAACAGTTTCTGTCCTAATCTCAGATTTACTTTAGACAGGCTTAAATTAATCATCCCTAATGTTTGTTTATTAATGTAGTTATTGGAGGAGTCAAATGAGTTAGGAGGTTGCATTTGTGAAGATGATGTGTTATGTGCCATGCCACAATGCTGAATGCATTCCCAAAATAATTAAATTCTACTTAAATAGGACAGTTTCAAGAACTTGTTTTGTGTTTTTTGTACTCGGCATTACTTAAGGTGCATTGGGTTGGAAACAATCTGGTATCTTTTGATTTGATGCGTACTACTAAATGTGTCAACATATCCTTTTGGAATAGTCCAAATGTACGGTGTGCTTGCACTGCTATCACTGAACTCAAATAACTCCCAAAGCTTTTGTCTGCGATTATTTATTTTCCATTTCGTGAGGATTTTCTGTACCTGTCACTGAAGATTGATGATTTGGCAAGGATGCAAGGTTATCATTTAAGTCGTTTTCTTTCCCTCAGCCAGTAAAAGTATTTGGGATCTTGTCCAATCAAGGCCATTCTGTGGGATTAGGGAATGAAATACACTATCCTGAATTCTGACTGTGCCTGGATCTATTCTGAGGGAACATGATCCCATTTGTCAACATTCATACCTAGAGATTTTAGAATAGAATTCTACATCCTTTCTTGAACTTCGACTTATTCCATGAGTAAATGACTGTAAAAATAAACAACCACATGAGCATTTGTGTTCACTGAGAATTGTAATCCTGATGGCACATGATCAACCAAAAAATAACGAATGAATAGTTACATCTGGTTTTCAGTTCTGCTGCTTTCCGCTCCAGTAGTTTCTGAACAAGTATCCTGGCTCTTCAACTAGGTTTATTATTTGTTACTTTAAGCACTGAATTCTAGACTATTTGAGCATAATAAAAGACTTTTTTGTTGCTAAACATATACATCCAATCAAGTAGTTGTCATTTTGGAGAAAGTACAACAGCAAGGACTGTCTCCCACAGCATAAGTGTCCCTGAAATGTTGCGTCTGTCCATAAGCTGTAGCTATATAACCATTTTCTTATTTAATTGTAGATAAACCTTCAGGAATGTTAACTTTTTGTGAACATATGAAAAGTTTGTAAAACATAGAAACAATTTGAATTGTGAAAAGTCTATAGGGAATAGTGTATTAGAGTTGCATATTGTAAATATGAAACAGTATGCTGCAGTGAACTGGAAGGAGTTAATTACTTTGTACTGTGAATTATTTTCCAGGTGGAATTCCATCTGTAGAGCCTTTTCGCAAGGGTCTCAATGAACTATTGACTGTCTGTCAACATGTGCTGAATACATTTGAGGTTAGTCTCAAATTCACTGAACAGTTCCTAATACTTCCTTGCAGAGAGCTGCAACACTGAAAATGAGATTCTGCAAATTATTCAAAATTGTTTGCTTGTGTCTGAGCCTATTCAATCATTTGTTAACTTTGTCTTGTAGTAGCTGTACATTTTAAGATTAGCATTTTCCTGCATCAGTGGATTCCGCTGTTATTAGTAACATGAGTGAATTATTAAAAAAATGGTGACCATGAAACTACAGGATGGTTCTAAAATTTAACTGGTTTACTGATATCCTTTGGGGAAGGAACTGTGCCGTCTTTGCCTCATCTGGTTTAAATATTTCTCCCCCAACCTCCCCACAACCTCCATGTCAAGTTTGGAAATTCAGTCTGGAATGGGAAGTTTCATGGATGACTTTTCCCATTCTGCCAGTAGACCTTTAGGTCGGTAATCAATGCCCACTGCCGCCATTTGTAAACTCCAGCAGTGACAAGTGGGGAAATCACTATGCTTGAAGCTCAAAAAGCAAGCCAATTGTGTCTGCCTGCAGGCTCCCAGGGGAGGTTCTGTCATTCAAAGGCACACAGTTCCTGATTGAGGGACTCAACACTGAGAAGCCTCATGTCTTAACTTCATGGAGAAAACAGGGTTGGCCATTATTGAGATAACAAGGTGTAGAGCTGGATGAACACAGCAGGCCAAGCAGCATTAG